TTTGTAGTATATTTCATCACAGAGTGAAAGAATTTTCGCTTGAAGTTCTTCGGTTGGAATGCTGAAACTGGCTTTAGTCCCAAAATGGCCGCGCTCATCGGGCCTTGCTTTGTTGCCGTAACACATTGCTGCTGATATCTACCCAAATTTCCGATATAATCGCTATCAGAGAAGTTATGATCGTAATAACTTGCTGAGAGAAGTACAAGTACTTCTAAAACCAACTGTAGTACTCGAAAATTTAGCCTTTTCACCGAGTAAGACGCCATGGCACTCCCTTACTTTACATGAAGACACTGAGGAGTAATTTACTATTTCCCTTGGCTTAAGGAAGTAAATCCATTTCTAATTAGTTGATCATGTTAATCTGTGGCAGAAATCTCTATTTTAGATTCGCCATAATTAATAAAGAGAAATGTCTATGAAGATTGGCAAACATCACAGGGCTGGAGCAAACAAAGATGCCAAGACTTATGATGGAAGGTTCACGACCATGCACAATCTTTTGTTTTGCATTCATGGAACACAGAGCTTTGTTGGGTTTCACAACCATTTCCCTCTATTAACATGTACCTATAGATTAGCCTAACAATTAGCTCTCCTTGGCTTCCCTGGCAAGATCCATTTTATAATTATTGGTTAGGGCTTATGTCATGTATGAAATTGGCCCATTTAACATATTATAGACTATTTTATGAGGGAAACTGATATCCTCACCCTTCGTAAACCCTGCACTACCACTTAAGGCTTGAATTTCTTTACTAGCAGCTAAGTTCTGGAATGTTTTACCTGACAGATTACGAGCTATTTCTTGTCTCAATTACCTAATTAGAGCAATTCGACAACAAAAGTTAATTGGCTAATTGTAACTTCTTCTAAGTTAATATTTTATTCAATAAATATAGTGTTACTTTATTTTGACTTTCATTTTCTTGGAGATACTAGCCTATTTTTGGCTGCTCAAAATGTGAGATAGAATAAAGTATTATGTATATACTGTATGTATGTACTTGTNGCTTTGTTGCCGTAACACATTGCTGCTGATATCTACCCAAATTTCCGATATAATCGCTATCAGAGAAGTTATGATCGTAATAACTTGCTGAGAGAAGTACTATTACTTCGAAAACCAACTGTAGTACTCGAAAATTTAGCCTTTTCACCGAGTAAGACGCCATGGCACTCACGCACGCATTTTCTGTGATCAGTACTTCAATAGGCTCTTTGCCTATCTTTGCCTCTGTGCGGAGCAGCCCATCTTTAAGCATGTCTTAGATCAAGATTTGCGACGTTCCGTGTTCTATATACCTGCGCGCCTCCCGCCACCTTTAAACCAAGTCTCGCGATGATCGAACTCAAAGGTAAGGCTATCTTAAAGATAACGCTACCGAAAAGAGTTTCCAAAATGTTTTTGAGAACTTGTCAATGTTTGGGTGCGTTCTTGCGGAAAATTTTTAAAGCAAAATAAACTCGTTTATTCTTGATAGAAATGAAGATGTATTTACACTTCTGACACTCAGCAACCACATGCTTATGTATATCCTCGTTCACTATCGTCATGAATGAAATCAACAGTTCCCTCAAATAAAAACATCTCAGTGCCTGGGATTTTGACCGCGGTTAAACCTTCTCGCTCAATTGCCACGCTTTCGATCGCCAACTGCAAGGTAAAAGGAAAAGTTAAGTCTGCATACGAGCCAAGTGGCTCGTCAGGCCGGCGCTTATCTCCGGTTTCTGTAGCATGAAGCGACTAGGGGTATTTCTACTCCGCCTTATACGGGATGCTAGTCCATTGCAGGGTTACCCTCAGCATTAAGTTCGTCGGTACCCATTTATACACCTGGGTGGAGAGAGGCACTGTGAGAGTCAAGTGTCTTGCCCGAGAAAACAATACAATATCCCCAGGGCTCGAACCGGGACCGCTCGATCCGGAGACGAGCGAACTAACCAGGACGCCACCACGCCTCCAGATAGACAACTACACAGGATTGTCTATTTTGCTGGGAAGTCATGTGATGAAGTTGGAAGATCTTAATTGTTCTGAAAAAAAGAATTTTTTTCGCACCGTCACTGGGAGAGAGTATGCGTCGATCCGAGTCAGAGAAATGTTGCGACACGGTAATCGAAGTATTCAAAATGTCACTGAGCTGTTTTGCACTATCGGTTTAAAATTCAAATTTTGCTATTGACAAACATTTTTCCAGAACTGCTTAGCCCCATTAGATCTTGACAAGAATTTTATTTCTTTCTTTCTTTACCCTCAACATTCTTGCCTTCAACATTTTTTCCCCTAGCATTGAGCTTCAGAATGGCCGTAGAGCGGTTGGCCTCTTCCAGACGTTCAGTTGGTTGGGGCGCAGCGCGAAAATCAGCGCGCGAAAAAAAAAAGCGCTTTTTTCATTTTTTCGCGCGCTGTTTTCCGCGCTGCGCTCCAACTAACTGAACGCCTGGAAGAGGCTATAGAGCGGTCGACACGTCGTTCATTTTTATCCGTTATTTTTTTTTACCGTGAAACGGTTTCAAAATACGCATTTTAATCACAACTTTCATATTATTTATCAATCGACCGAGATTTCTCTAGTCTTAAACATACAATTGGGGCAGCGATCTTATTTCAAAAAAGTACAATCCGTGACAATAAATAAATAAGTAAAATGATAACTTTATTTAACTGCTAAAGGACATTTACTACTTCAAATCTTTTTTGTGGAAACTTTAAAGAGCTATAATAGTTTCTGTAACAAAATTCTCGATCGTGATTTGTTCTCCCCGCGCTTATTTGTCACACCATCGGCGTGCGATTATGTGGGTGTCCAATTACAGGTATCCAATTTGAACTTTTTGTCATTGGATATGTTTAATTGGATACCCACGTGATTCGCTCGTCAATAGACATTTGTAATTCCAAAATTTCTTATAGATACGATTAATTAGTAACTGGACCTCGCGTCCTACAATTCAGGGAGTAATCGTGCTCGTAATTTCAAATCGTCCGATTTTGAAATAACTCGCGCGATTACTCTCTGAATTGTACTCTACTCGGTCCAATTGCTATTACTAATTGCTGCTTGATATATTGACGCATGTGAAATTATTCCTACCGCCCTGATACTGTAACGAAAACTTTGACGACGATTAAAATAATTCATTAAGCGACCAAAAAGAAAAGGAGGAGGGAACATTAATTAAGAAAACTTTATCCTTCAAATATGACATTTTGAATTTGCTATGTCCGTAACCAACGTGTTTTCACTTCTCCAAAGTCGTCTCTAGTTCCTTCCATTGTTCATCTGGTAACTCTGCGGGGACAAATTCACAAAAAATGACTCTTAAACAGCTAGTGCCAAGTCAAAATCTGGCTTTGAAGCCTAGTGATCTTTAGCATGCTACCCTTCCATTCTCTCCCGGCTTAAAAACCCCGGAAAGGAACAAAAAGGATGAACTCATGAACTCATGAACTCATAAACTCATGAACCTGTCATGAGGCAATCACGAATACGATTATACGATTGACTTCTTTATTGTAGCCAACGCGGCAGCACTTGAAGAGAAATGGCGCCCGTACAGTTCTTGATGCCACTTCTGGGGGAATGTACGT